TTCCATGAATTGGCGATTCAGCTCAAACTGTTGCATCATTCCGGCCATGAATTCAGGCGGTGGTGGAGCGTTTCCACCACGGCCACGACTAGCGGGTCTAACCATCCTGCTAACATGTAACAGGGGGGTATTTTAGCATCGAGCATTTGTAAATACAAAGGATCATTCATGATGAAACAAGCATAATGAAAGGGGTATGATGGATACCACATAGTAGTCAACACGACAGAGTGTGTACTATTCATAATACTATTTTTAAGGAATAACTATGGCTTATCCAACTTTAGGGTGAATGTAGTCACGGGATCCTAATGTTAGGGTTAGTAAATTCGTTTAACCCGAATGGAAGAGAGATCAGAATCCCAGAGTATAGACGAGGAGTAAAAGATCCTAATACCACCCAATGGCGATGTGGGACCATAAGATACACAACCATGTTAGTAAATCAGGTTTTCAACGACTAGACTCAACTTCGGCCAAGGAGTTGGAAAGGGGGATCCTACAGGTAGTCGGCTCTGATACCAACTTGTGACGCCCTCGATTCAATCGTACACTAATCATACACGCAAATGTGTACGATCAAGATCAAGGACTCATGGGAAGATATCACAACACAACTCTAGACACAAAATAAATAATACAAGCTTTATATTACAAGCCATGGGCCTCGAGGGCTCAAATACATAAGCTCGAATACACAAGAGTCAGCGGAAGCAACAATATCTGAGTACAGACATAAGTTAGACAAGTTTGCCTTAAGAAGGCTAGCATAGAAGCACGTCGATCGAAAAGGCAAGGCCTCCTGCCTGGGAGCCTCCTAACTAATCCAGGTCATCAGCGGCCGTCATGTAGTAGTGGGCACCCTCAGGGTAGTAGTAGTAGTCATCGGTGGGGTCGTCTGGCTCTTGGGATCCGTCATCTGGTCGCAACAATCGGGTATGGGAGAAAAAGAGGTAGCAAAGCAACTATGAGTACTCATCCAAAGTACTCGCAAGACTTACATCAGATCTAAACTAAGTATGCATCTGTATCAAAGGAATGGGTTGTATCTGTGGACTAAACTGCAGAATGCCAGAAGAGAAGGGGAAAGCCTAGCCTATCGAAGACTAGCATCTTCAAGCGTCTTGCAGCATCAGAAGAGATAAGAGTGGCATAAAGTAAAGTAGTAGCAATGTGATCAACCTCGGCCAGAGATCCTTTCTCTACTCCCTACGAGAAAGCAATCCCAGAGCCATACTATCCAGTTATCACCTCAAGTATCCAGTTCTAGTTGAATCGATCGGGATACAAGTCCAAGTGTCTGTTACCGTAGGACAGGCTATCGATAGATGTTTTCTTCCCTGCAGGGGTGCACCAACTTACCCACCACGCTCGATTAACTCCGATCGGACACACTTTTCTGGGTCATGCCCGGCCTCGTCCAAACAATACGCCGCAACCCGACCTAGGCTTAATAGAAAGGTCAGCACGCGGGACTAAACCTATGCCCTCAGGGGTCTTGGGCCATCACCCCGAGAACTCCTGCATGTTGCGTGGGCGGCCGGTGAGTAGACGGAGCTACCTCCTTAAAAAGGCAGGTGCTTACGCAGTCCAACCCGGCGCGTGCCACTCAGTCGCATGACGTCTATTAAGCTTCGGCTGATGCATACAATGCAGAACGCCCATACTATGCCCACGTGATGGCTAGTGCTATCAGGCCAGAGGCCCCTCAGATCAAATATCCAAACCGTTAGTGTGTTGGTAGTGGGGTCACGAGCAGAGACTCACGAAAGATGTGACCCGTCGCCTCGTCTTGAGTACTTGTGGCAAGGGCTAAGAATGCCTGGCCACGCCTCATAAGTATCTCGCGGGCACCTTCCAGGTCAACCCAACTCCACATCACTCGCAATTAAGCTCGCGCGGGTACCCCTCAGGGCCGACCCATCTTTAGTAACATGGTTCAATGTGAAGTCATAGTAACCATAGTAACTGTGAGTCTAACACCAAGGGAAACCCTGAGGAACCACCCTCGGTGGATTCCACTCGATGTAATAATCAAGGTGAACATAAGAGGAACCACCCTCGAGGTTCACACTTGAGGGGTTGCACGACAGAGTCGTATCGGAAGTGGTTAAGGAGGAAATCACCCTCGATGACCATGACCGAATAGCTACACTACAGAGATCTCATTAGGAGTGATGTATGAGGTGTCACCCTCGGCACTCGATAGTAACTCTGCAGAGTCGTACAACTAGGGGGGGTCATGTGCGGTGTCGGGGCCTGGACGTCAATCACGTTGATCGAGTCATCAAACATAAAGCGGGGCAACAAGGACAAGGTGGGGGTCACTGATGGATCACTAACCAAACTATACTACGCAGTTTAGGATAAGCAGGTAGGTAACAATAAGCAAGTAACAAAAACAAGCTATGCATCAGAGTAGGATCATACCGAAAGCAGTAGCAGTTCTAATGCAATCATGAGAGGGAAAGAAATGGGCGATATCGGAATGCTCAAGGGGGGTTTGCTTGCCTGGAAGCTCTGCTGAAAAGGAAGAAGTGTCGTCGACGTAGTCGATCACAGGGGCGGCATCGGTCTCGGGGTCTACCGGAGAGAAGAGGGGGAAGAAACAATAAATATAAAACAAACAAAGCATCACAAAGCATAACATGGCAATATGTTGTGTCGGGTGTGACCTAACGTATGGCTACACGATATAGGTAAAGGGGGAATTCAACTGGGAATGTTTTCCCGGGTCCGGACCTGTGTAGAAAACATTTTCATCCGAGTTAAGGATTAATTTATGTGATTTTCTGAAGATTTAATCAGTTTCTGGAATTATCTAAATTAACTGAAATGGAATTATGACATCAGCATTATGTCAGCATTCGGCTGACCTGCTGACTGGTCAAACTGACAGGTGAGGCCCACCTGTCAGCCTCTCTGGGTTAAACAGTGGGTTAAACTAATCTAATAGACTAATTAGAGGGACGGGCCCCAAGTGTCAGTGACTAACTAACTACTAATTAATTAACAGATTTTAACTAGCAGTTTTATTTATTTATAAAAACGTTTAAGCTAGTGGGGCCCGCATGTCAATGGGTTAGAGTGCCAAGTCAGTAGTTGACCCAGTCAACAGGGTCAACTGGGGCCCGTGGGGCCTGCTGGCAGTGACCCTGGGGTAGCCCCAGGCCAGCCATGTTGGCGGGCCGATGGCTGAACGTCGGCGAGCACGAAAACGTGGCGGAGGGCACTCGACCTCATCGGGATTCGTCTACAGGGGGTCTCCGAGGCTGGGGCTAGGCACGTTCGAACAGGGAGTGAGCGGCGCAGTTGCTGGTGGTGGTGGTTTCGCCGGAATCGGCGCTGGCGACGAGCGGAGGCGGCGGCGTTCTCGGGCGCTCGTCGAGCTAGGTGCTTAGGGGGCACGGGAAGGCGCATGCGCGTTGGTCTCCTGGGATCCCCAGGAGCACAACGGTGAGCTCGGGCGAGCGTGTCAACGGCCACAACGACGACAACGAGCTCGTTGGTGGCGACGCATGCGGGTGCTAGCGGAGCAGCGGCTACGGGTGACGAAAAGCTTCGCGGAGAGAGGGAAAAGGGGGAGAGGCTCACCGAGAAGGCGTAAGGAGGCATGTTGATGGATTAGTAGTAGCAGCGGCGCGGGAATCGGAGAGGTTCGCCGGTGGTAGGGACGAAATGGGGCAGAGGAGAGCGGTGTCTACAGAGCCCCTCAGCTCCTGCTTGAGGTCGAGGTCGAAGGAGCGGAGGATGGCGGAGCTCGTGGACGTGCAGGCTAAGCTTGGGGTCGACGGTGGCCGCGGTGACGATGGAGGACGGCGACGGGCGCGCTCGGGCAGTGGGGAACGAGGGGGAGAGCGAGGAGGAGAGAGCGGCCGAGATGGAGAGGTGGAGTGGGCGAGGGGAAGTGGGAGAGGGGATCGAGGAGGCGGGAAGGCGTGGGGGCCTTATCTGCCGTCGTCGTCGGCGAGGTGGTTCGGCGGCGACCGCGCCCGCGGTCGCTCGAACAGGAAGGTGATCGAGGAGGGGGAGTGGGCTGGCTGGGCCGGCCTATTAGGCCAAGGCCCTAGGGGGAATAGGGGAGGGTTTTTTAAGACTTTTCTGTTTTCTTATTTCTTTTTCAAAACAAAATATTTTAATAAAATATAAGACTTGTAATTAATTTAGCTTAATAAATTTAGGCCAACCGGATTAGGTTTTAGCACTTGAATAAAATAGTTAGAATTTTTATAAATTAAAAAACATTTAATTAATTGTTTAAACCACTATTTTAAATAGTTTAGGCCACTTAAACACTTTGCAAAAATGTTGGTTCATCACCAATATTAGTTATGAATTATTTGGCACATGATGACATTTTAGTTTTCATGTTTGAGCAATTTTGAATTTCACTTAGAATTTGAAATTGAAATCAACTGAAATTTAAAATAGATAGGAGACAATGATGATCAAACACTTGTTTAACAAAATGATTAACTTAACCCTAGAGGTTACTGTAGCATCATTACACTGGGGTGTTACAACGATGATTCGTCATTCTTTTCTATGGTGGTTGCTGTAGTGGTGCCGGAGACAGATGAGGGGCGTTGACGTCAAGCTCAGAGATGTTCTACTATCTTTTCAGTTTTGTGCTATGGGTTCTTACGTGACTTGTATTTTGTTTTTTATGATATGGATGAAATGCGTATTACCATGAAAAAATAAAGTACATGGTCCGTGGACGGCCCGGCGAATAGTTGGGCCTTTCTGGACCTTCATCAGGCCCAACCATCTGGGCCTTCAACGGCAGCTCGAGAGAATTGGGAGGGACGCGCCGGCCGGCAGGCAGATCTCACCATTTGGTTGTTGTTTCGAACGCACTCCACTCCTCCTCTACCGGCTTCCGCTGCCGGCCGCGGCCGTCCCCACCCACCACCACCACCACCGCAACCAGCACTGCGGAGCGCAACAACCTCGGGGCCTCCGGCGGGCACAGACGCCCGGAGGAGGGGGAAGCGAGGATGAGCGGGGCGGCGCTGTGCGCGGCGCTGACGGAGCTGGGGTTCGACGGGGAGGACCCGCTGGACGCGGACGCGCTCGAGTGGCCCTTCCAGTACGAGGAGGCGCGCCCGCTGCTCGCCTGGATCTGCTCCTGCCTCCGCCCCTCCAACGTCCTCTCCCCGTCCCACCTCTCGCAGTGAGTCCCAAATCCCCTCCGCCCCCCTCTCCTCCCCCCAGCCTGCTTCTTTCCTCTCTCTACTACCGCAACGACTTTCTTGGTTTCATTTGGTTTCTGCTGCTGGCGAGGGCGATTGCGCTGCTGACACTAGAGCGCGCTTTTTCGGATTGTGATTCTACTACTCGAGCTGCGGTTTGATGCTTGGGATTGCAGAGTCTTGGTGGACTCGGCGCCCGTGAGATTCGGGGAGCTTGGGTGCTGATCTGCACCCGAATTTCTGCGGTTTGCTCGGGGAGCTACGGTGCATTAGGGTTCTAGTGGCGGCTTCGTGTCGTGTACCTCTCAGGGTGAATTTTGGAGATTAGCTGCCTGGAAATGCCAGAATTTTCTGATCCCCGCGAGGGACTGCTCTACAGTTCTGACCGCAATTTGACTAAGCATGGGTCATGTATCATAGGCTTTCTTGTGGTTTGATAATCGCACTTCAGTAATTGACCTTTAACCACTCAACAATGGGCTTCTTACAAATTAATTAAGGGAAGTTGTGTTAACTATATGCCGGTCTTCTGTAAGTTTTTTGCCGTATCATACCTGGGGGCATTTGGGTGCCTCAAAATTTATGATTTTGTTCGCACTTTGTGGTTATAAATAGCCGGATGTGTTTATAATGTTCAGTTACCAAATAGAATTACACTTGCATTGATGGATTTTTGGCCTTGCTCTCGCCTGAATTATATGTGCATGACAACATCTTTAATGACTGACAGGTATGAGCAACTCGTGGAAGAGGGAAGACTGCTAGAGGTACATCCACCAACTGGGGCATTTTTGTGCTGTCTACTTTTAGTATTTCTGTAATCTCTAAGAATATAGGATGTGCTGCGACCTTAGGAGTGAGTTCAAGATGCCAGATGGCGCAGTATAACGAGTCTTTAATCAAATAAAGTAGTAAAAGAACTTTTACTATTTCTTGGAAATAAACTAGGCAAAGGTCAATTCTCAGCGTTTGTTGGAAAATACAAACCATCGATGAATTTATCCCATCCATGATCTGAAACCCTGCTCGCAAACATTTGAGCTAAAAACATTAATTAAATTCTTGCAAATCTTTGGAGTTTGCACCCATATATCATGTAAGTGAGTCGTTAGCAATCTCCTGAAATATTGTCTAAACGCAACAGCTCTTCTATGCATTGTAAACACCTATTTCTCCATTGGTCAAACATTTAACTCTTGCAATGCCCTGTATTATTTGCTCAGGGTGAGGATTTGGACTCTGCTTTTGATAGTATTTCAGCCTTTTCAAGCAAGAAAGACAATCAAGAGGCTGTCTTTGAAGCAGAAGAAACTATTCTTGACATTCGGTATGCTCCAACTTTCAGTTTTTATAAACTAATAGTGATTAGTGAAAGCCATGCCATGCTTGAATTGTTGCTGCATTTATTTTGATGCACTTATACTTGTAGGAATGTTCCACACCAAATTCTAGTGGGAAACTGACTCCTGAGAATCCAGGCCAGGACTATGAGGGTGACAAGTGGATCACTAACATATACTATTAAACATGAAGCTTAATAGGACACTTGGATTGGGTGGGGGTGAGGACCTAGGGTAGTGCACAAGCCCTTGACTGATTGAAAAAGAGGCTTGCTTAGGCTTTTGATGCCTGATTGAAAAAGAGGCAACGATACTATTTATTCTATTCAAAGATTAATCTTTCTATCTGCCTGCTGTCCTGATACACAAGGAACACAAGGGACACATCCTTGTAAAGGACTAACCAAACAACTCAAAGAACTAAGAAATGTTTTTATCCCTAACAATTAGGACTGGCCAAATATTTTATGACTGAAAGGGCAAGTAATTGCTTCCTTCCTAATGCCGAAGGGTGCTGACTGCCTCATGTCATATGTGTCTGCTGCATTTAGGCTCTCAGCCATAAGCCATAACATCTGTTTATAACCACATCAGAACATCAGTCCTATCTGCTTTTGAACCTTCCTCTGCTGTGTCAAGTTGCTGTCAAATACTCCCTCCGTCCGGAATTACTTGACGCCCAAACGGTTGTACAACCGTTTGAGCGTCAAGTAATTCCGGACGGAGGAAGTACTAGTTAGGTGGAACTACTGATTGCAGAATAAAATATTTCTTCCTACTCTTATGTGCTTTTACTGACAGGGTTATTTTGTTTGCTTACTTGCAGAGAAGCAAAACTAGCATATAGAGCTGAAGTTTTTGAGTTGCAGAGGCAGCTTGCACGGCAGCAAGCACAATTTGATATGCTTGCAGGGCAAGCATCTTCGCTTATTCAAGGCAGACGAGCACGTGTATCAGCTATGTCTGCAGTTAGCGTGCAACTTATATCACTAGATGAGATACTTTCATCCAGAAACTTGGAGGTAATTTTCATTGTCTTGCGTCCTTAACGATTTTATTCATGTTTTTACTTTTGATTGAATTGGTATGCAACAAAAGGATAAAAGGCATGTTGTCTTCTTCCTTGTTATTTACTCTTGATCATGCTTCTTTCACCTTGGCTTCTGGTGTAGAACTTCTTTTTGATTCTGATGGTAGGAACTTCGTTTCATTGTTATGTTCGTACAACAACACCCTTCCAAGTGGACACCGAGAGGATAAACACCCAAAACACACCGCACCTTCAAAACTGAGTGTTATTCCATGATAAGGCTTAACTAATAACATGCATACATAGCATGTTTCCTAAAGTGCCATGAAAATGTATCTCCTCTTTTTAAACACACCATGATTAATCTCGTACACCTTCCGTAGCGTAAGGAGAATCTGTTTCAAAAGAACTGTCTGTTGAAGAAATCAAGAGTGTGGTTATAGTTCTATTTCCAATGTGTGCCCTTGCCTAAATGTTTTGAAACGGAGCTAGGTAGTTGATGTGTGCCCTTTATTTGGTTCGTATAAATAACTTTAATTTGCTGCTGTGGATCTCTATCCTGTTATATAATTTTCCAACAATTTTGATTTGATGTTTTTGCTAACTTTCAGATGAATGCAGTTCTTGGAAGAATTACTGCTACAACCCAAGAATTGGCACATTATCATTCGGGAGATGGTATACACTCAAACTTGTGCATACTGCATACAATTATACATAACATTGTATCGAGTAGTTCTTTATAGTTTGATTAATATTCTGATATGCATATGCAGAGGACAGTATATACTTGGCATATTCAGACTTCCATCCGTATTTTATTGGGGATTTGGCTTGTACAAAGGAGCTAAACCGGTGGTTCTCGAAGCAATTTGAGAAGGTACATTCTTTGTGGTTGTCATTGTTTGCAACAAACGAGATAACTTCTGTTTGTTCCAGAGTGGGCAAGCAGTGAGCCATGTTCATCACTAATTATCTCACTTTTCAAACTCCTACTATCTTGCTGCCTCTTGCAAATCCAACATAGGTAAATAATACAAGACAGTTAAAAAAGATCTGGTGTACACTTTTACCTATACTCAGTTTTATTTAGTACTCCCTCCGTCCGAAAATACTTGTCATCAAAATGGATAAAAAGAGATGTATCTAAAACTAATATATGTCTAGATACATCCCCTTTTATTCATTTTGATGACAAGTATTTCCGGACGGAGGGAGTATTTTACAAGGTACTATCTTTTATTTTAGCCTTTTAGGTGCAAAAATATCATATTCATTATAAAAAAATACAGCATGTGCCTGTGAAGTTGGATATTTCCCTGTTTTCAATGTTGCATGAAGCTTTTTATGCTGAATAATATGTTTGCACTCCTTATGCATAATTTTCATCACCAGATTTTGGGGACTTATCTATTATCTTCTTATGCATAATTGTGCATCTCTGTTCCAGCCATACCTTATGTCTTGCTTTAGTACCACGTAACCACTTCAAACTGTTTAGTTGTTTAGTTTTGTTCTGTCCTGTTGCCAGGGGCCATTTCGACTTGTTGCGGAGGAGGGAAAATCGAAATGTTCCTGGGTGAGTCTTGATGACATCACAAATGGCCTGACAAGAGGTAAGAACCTTCTGCAGTAAATTGTTTGTAGTTGATCTCCCATAAAGGCATTACTCGAACTTCTGTAAAGGTCATAGATACTGTAATACTGTAACAACATGATTGTGCTGAGAGATGAACAGCTTATAACAGCCATGTTCTTGTATGCAGGAGATTCTGAAAAATCTCATCATCACCAACGTGTGGCTGAGTTGCAACGACTCCGTTCGATGTAAGTGTCTTTCGCTTCATAACTTTTCTTAATCTTTCTGTTAGCACCATGATATCAAGTGAAAACTCATGTTTAGGTGGAAAAATCTCTATCTTGATGTATGATTCCTATAATCTCATGATGTATGAAGTGAAAACTTTTCTTTAGGTGCAAACATGTGTGCTTTGATGTGTATTGTTGTATGAGCGATGGATTGAGAAGATCCATGAAATTTTGTGGTCATATTGATGTGAAATTTGTGAATGGCCCGTGGAAACGTTTACCAGAGCTCTCACCACCTCATGGTCCACTAAATCTCTTACATCCATCATTTGTCCAATGGTGCATGTAATTGCTTTCACGTTTGCACCTGATACCTCCCCTTCAGGCCAAATGTCCAAAACTGATGCGGGAAAACAATTGCTGATAATCGTATTGAAGTTTAAAATTCTAATTTTCTTTGGTAACTACTACGATCTATTCTTCTGTTATCTAGAAACTCTCCACTGAAAAGCAGGTACCCAAACAAGGTAACATTCGTTGGTGTCTCTACCAGACCAGATTTCATGACCAATTGCAATGGGTAGGCATTAGTCGTATCTTGAGATCCAACAAATAAAAAGCTGCAATTTCTCCATTTGTATGCTGCATTTTGTATTTGCTATCGGTTCGTTGGTATATGTGTGTTTGTGGAATTGCATTGCCATGTGTTTGTGGAATTGCATTGCCATTGTGTGTTCTTCAGTGTTAAGCTCGTCAATGCTTAAAAGTGTCCATTTCGGGCTTTGATTTATTTTCAGCAGTCGTTTGATGTGGCCTGTGGGCTTACTCTAATTTATCAACAGATTTGCTACAAGTGAACGACAATGGATTGAAGCACAAGTTGAGAATGCTAAACAACAGGCCATACTCCAAATTTTAAAATCTCAAGTGTCCTCCGACGAGGCTCACATACATCGGGATATACATTCTCTTAGGTATATGTTATGTTACTCATCTTGATTGTGATTCTATCTGTTTTTCAGATGTGTTCCTTTTACTCCCTCCGTTCGGAATTACTTGTCGCAGAAATGGATGTATCTAGACGTATTTTAGTTCTAGATACATCCATATTCGAGACAAGTAATTCCGAACGGAGGGAGTATTTAACTGTGACATAATATCTGAAGAATAAGAAGGATCTTTCTGATCTCGGTTACCTCTTATCATCGCCTTTCTTCTTCAGGAGAAAAAGTTCTGAGCTTGCTGGAGAACTCTCAACACTTACTCAAAAGGTGCAGCCTTTCATATCTGAGGTATGTGAACAAACACAGTTCCATCTTTAGAAATGCATTTTGTTACTAAGTTAAGTTTAAGTCTTGATCTGATAAACTGAAGTTCTGAACCTTTAATGCTACACCCATGCAGAATATTTTGTTCCTTAGAGGAATAGCACAAATTTAACAGCAGTATGTATAGGTTTGTTTGTTGAATATCAACATGTATTGGAGTTCAACTAAGTGTCCGACAACAGACTGGTTTTGTAGTGGTTTCAAACCCAGACTGACAACTGGTGGTATTTTTGCAATTTTCCCAAATCCGTGTACAGAGTTGAGTTACCTCTTGCAGGACTAGAAACTACAAAATGTATTCTAACTTCCGTTCCAAAGACATATGGTGGTATTGTGAAATTGACTATTCCCTTGGAGTAATCTATGTGCTCATTTTTGGAGCTACCTACTGTTGTTTAGGAAATATGTTGGAGTGTGAATGTGCGATTAGTTCTTATCCAGAGCACCATCCCACCAAAATACATTTTTAGCATTTTAGAGGGCATTGACAATAAGAATTCTTACTGCAGTGCATCGACCATGCCCCAATTCTTCTCTTAGCATATGATAAATCTTTCATGGCATAAGCCTGTTTTGATCTATCTACTTCTCTCCTCCAGACCATACCATGCCTTTGTTCGGAACTTGCTCAACTTCAAGGCACATATATTTTGCAAGGTTTGCACAAAGTATTTCTGTTTTTATTGTTGTTTTGTATGATTTTTTTTCTCTAACATGCTTCTGAACACCCAAATATTTAGGTGATTACGATTTAAAGGTCATGCGCCAGGAATACTATATCAACAGGCAGAAAACTGTAAGCACGTCCTCACAATATATGCCATTTCTACAATCTTTGATGTGTCCTGTTTTTGTATGTTCTTATTGGTGGTATACCCTCTATTGTCATGAAACTAAGATGTGACTTAGATTTTTATTCAGGAGTATGATTTCACTCAAGCTGTGTAAAAATTACTTTGCTTTTGGTTATAAACTCTGGAGTGATTCGAAAGCAATTGCATGAAATAAAACGATGGAGCGGCAATCACGCAATATTTTGATGCTTTCTTTTAGATTTAATTGGTGGTGTGCATTGGAAAAACTGGTTTTGTACTACTGTTGGGTTTTTCATTGCATTTAGAAGGTGGTCTACTGGTCAATGAAATGACAGTGTGTTTGATTGTTTGGTGCTGTGCACCGATAGATGCCAATCACCTTCAGCAGATGGTGTTTTACAGCCAGTAGAAGTAGTGATGTTTACTTGTTTACTGAATTTTGGTCTTCAACAAACTATTTTTTATACGTTCTTGTGTTGGCTAGACTTCCTATTACATTTATACTCTCCCACACTTCTCTTCTCATAGTCTTGGCATTTTATTTATTTTACAGTTCATCAATCACTTGGTTAATCAGCTTGCTAGACACCAATTTCTGAAGATTGCTTGCCAACTTGAAAGGAAGCACATAGCCAGTGCCCATGCATTGCTTAGAGTCATAGAATCTGAGCTACATAGCTACCTATCGGCAGTCAACACCCGTCTGGTAAGTAATCTCTGATGTTGCTGACTTCTGTGTAATTGCTTCTTCAGTGTTTATTCATGTCTTCACTTATTTTGTGTGTATTCATGTCCTCACTTCGTTAGTGTTTATTCATGTTTCTTCATTCTTATTGTCTTCATAGAGAATTCTGAAAAAAAAATCGTGTTTACTTTATCTTTTAGGGCCATTGCAATTCATTAATTCAAGCTGCGTCTGAGGTACGTGAACAAGGAGCAATTGATGATCGTGACACTTTCCTCCATGCAGTGCGAGATCTACTATGTATTCACTCAAGTAAGCAGATAACTCCAATCAGTATGCAGTTACATTTTTTTTATTCTCCTATCCTTCATGTTGCCTACTCTTTTCTACAGATTCCCAAGCAGCAGTACCAACATACATGTCAGCACATGCTTTAGTTCAGCAGATATCGGCACTTCAATCTGACTTGCTTTCTCTTCAGTCTGAACTTGAAAATACTCTTCCAGCTGACAGGAAAAGATGTATCAATGAGCTGTAAGTTACCACAAAGGCACTACCTTATTTCATGTCTGAAATATGATTGCTTTTAGACTTTTAGTGCTCCTTGTATGAACCGACACATTCTTAATTTGGCGTATCCTGTACAGTAAACAATAAGGCTGACCTCCAAAAAGATCAAACAAACCACTGGCTTCGATGCTATTTTCCTTGCATGAAGCCAAGCTGGCAATGAGCATGGTGCTTGGTGTGCCGGCTTGACTTATTTTATGCAAGATTTGTGATATGCAAAGTTATTCAATCTGTTGTATCCTGCATATTCACTTTTTAGTGTGCCAATACGTGTCCAATTGGAGTCATTTCACACGTCTCAATTCTGCAGATGCACTCTGATTCAAACAGTTGAACAGCTTCTATTTGCATCGTCAACAACTGCAGAACCAGTATTGACGCCCTGGGTACACTCTTTGAGCCATCAGATTGTGTTATTTATTGTGTATCATGTATTTCATCACATCCGTTTTCTTGTTGCAGCCACTGATGCGAGCACTTGATGATATGGAAAATGCAAATGCTCAAGTTGAAGTTGCTGTTGAAGAAGTAACCAAGGCTCGCACTCAAAAGATAAAGGTAGTAGACTCGCTGTCATCCTTAAGATTATTGGAATCAACATGTCTTGCTTGTTATATACTGGAATCATTATGTGTGCTGTTATCTTCTGTAAATCTTGAAGCTTCTTCAAGTTGAGTAAGACAAATGGGGAAATTCTCTGTTTTCATCCAGTATTACTTTAGCAGAAGAGAGGACTTAAAAAAACACTAGTATAAAGAGCTTTGAATAATAGTATTATTTGTCTCTCCTGTGCATATGTACCTGTAGACCTGATGTTACAAACAAATTTGCAGATCTTTGAAAATCGCGCACATGAGGTGGGGAGGGAAAGGCAGGTGTTTGTTGATTTTTTCAGCAACCACGAGCGTCTCAAGAATCAAGTCAGAGAGCTGACCTCCCGCGTGAAAGCTCTCCAGGAATGAAGCCGTTTTCTCCCGGGCGGTAAGCACAGGATACTTAACTTATCTTGCCCACAACTTACTACCGATCACATTGCTTCTCAGAACTGCACTCTCAGTTCTAACCTCTCGTGCCAGGTCTTAAGAAAAATCAGAAGCAATGGCCCAAAGCTCACATCTCCTGTGTGGCAATTCTATTTCTTGTAGAGAGCTCCAGTGCAAAATTGGGCATGTGTGTGGTGCCGGTATGCAACATCGAGTGATTTAGATGGATATTTAGGACATAGGAGTATATGCCAGTGGCCACCTGAATGGTTGGCGTCATTGTTGTATTTATGCTTCTTTGTATGTTGTAAACTATGCTAGAGATCACGAGCAATCTTGGACTAGGTTGTGGGGGTGGTGTGTAAAATACAATTGAGTTAGTTTGTATTAGGTGGTGGATTTAGTTTTTTTAGTTTGGTGGCTGGTCTAGTTGAGCTAACATCTCATGTGTCAAATATTGAAAGTTACTTTAAATTCAGAATCACTATAAACCTAACTGGGGCTGAAACTACGCCGATCAGCTCAAAATTACCAGCGTGTCTTCCTACGTCAGCCCTATTAAAAATCTAAGGCACTACATTCATG